AGTGTCTCTCTTTTCTCCATAAATACCTCATTAGTTGAAAAACAACCCTCTAACCTACAATTGCTTTATCAATAATTGAAGTTGAGTACATAGCTTTGGAAGAAGCAATAAAGGAAGGAATTTGGCTAAAGGGTTTTATCAATGATTTTGGGTTTCCAAAGGATAAAATTGTCACTTCCTATTATTTTCTGAGTGCAATTTATTTGGTCAAGAATCAAGTGCATCATTGTAGGACCAAATACATTGAAATCTGGTATTACTTCATTGAAACTGAGAAGATGGTTAAAGAAGAAGAAAAAATTGATACTCAAGAGAACCCAACAAACATGTTCACAAAGCTTGTTCCAAGAAACAAGTTCATGCACTACTTAGACTTACTTAATGTTAATTGTTGGAAATATATATAGCTAGGGCGTAGGGGCTTCACCTGTGTGTAGTCAATTTGTAATGGTTGTTACTATAGTCCTCCGGACATATATATCACCAATTATCATTATTTGTGGCTTTAAAGTTTAAATTATACTCTGATAGTATAACTACATTACAAGAAATGTTCTATATAATGACATACAAAAAGTGTCACTATAAGTATGATATATGTAGGTAATATATCTATTTGACATATAACTACACACAATTTTAGTGTTGATTTTGAATGAGATTTAACAACATATTTTGTGTGTCACTATAACTTATACTCACACTTTTTAATAATATACCAACATATATTATAGTTATTGTGTGGATAAAAATAATTTTTAGAATTTGCTTTACAAGAAATGTTCTATATAATGACATACAAAAAGTGTCACTATAAGTATGATATATGTAGGTAATATATCTATTTGACATATAACTACACACAATTTTAGTGTTGATTTTGAATGAGATTTAACAACATATTTTGTGTGTCACTATAACTTATACTCACACTTTTTAACAATATACCAACATATGTTGTATTTATTGTGTAGGTAAAAGTAATTTTTAGTGACAAATTTTGCAATGCATATAAATTAGATCTTCCTTCTGAGTATGGCATTAACTCATCTTTTAATATATGTAATCTCACACCATTTCTAGGAGTTGAGGATATGGATGAAGATCTTAATCTGAGGATAGATGCTTCTCAAGAAGGAGGGGATGATGGAGAACCATCTTTGAAGAACCATGTGGGCCCCGTCACAAGGTCCATGACTAGGAGAGTAGAAGATGAGGAGGGAGCTCACCCACGAAGGATACCCTCCTCATGGTCATAGAGTACTAATTACTCTCCTAAGTCTCATTAGTATAGGGTTATTTTTTTACCCTTGTATTTTGGGGTATTTTAGTCATAGGATTTATTTTTATTTGTATTTCCTATTTTACCCTTGTATTATGGGGTGCCTTAGATTATAGGAATTTATTTTTTTGGACTAGGGTATTTATTTAGGGCCTAGACATATTTTTTGGTGAACATTGATCTATTTTTGGACTTGAAAAGGCTTAGGCCCAAGTGAAGGGCACCTAGGTTGTATGGTCTTATCATGCACCTAGTTGTAGCTTAACCAAACCCAAAGATTCCATCCTTGGCCACCAAGTAGCATCTAAGGTTAATTTGGGTTTCATTTGAAGTGTATTTGGCATGCAAATTTCAGCCATATACTCCCAAATGCAACCCTAGATGCTCCTTCCCCTATAAATACCCTAAACCATGCACCTCGTAAATACTTTGGAATATGTGAATTTGAGTGAGCATTTTTTGCCTCAAATCCTCTCCTTAGTCACCTAGGTCACCATGGCCTAGACCTTCCATCTCCTCCCTTGAGTGAGTTTAGGGTTTATTGAGTGGCCTTCAGCCCCAGTTGGTGAAGTGAGCCAACCTAGAACCACCTAGACACATTTCCCTTCCACTTCCTCCTATTCGCCCACCATAAACACCTCACGCCCATCATCCTTATTTCTCCACCCTTGAAGGAACATCCATCATTGAAGTCATCACCTTGGCCTTAGCAAGGAGCCTCTCTCCCACCTTGGACGTCTTGGTCTCTCCCATGGTGGAAGGAGTCCATCACATTGTCTATTAGGAAATTGACCATTAATGTACAATTGTTTTGGACTCGAGTTTCAAGTAGTTAAACATGCATTATAACTTTTGTTTAAGTGATTGCGTTTTTATCTATTTTCTTTTGATAGTTCTAGCCATTTTTTTGTGTAATTTCTAGCTGATGTATTTTTTTTCATTATATTTCTATTTAATTTGATTATTGTTCAAGGCAGAGGAATTGTTGTGAACACATATCATTTTGCGTGAGAATATGATATATAAAAGGTTAATTACATATTAGTTAGAAAATTATGTTGTTTTAATTAGATATATAAGCCCCTTTATACTTCTTGGAAATCACATTTGACCTATACTAAAATCATTTGCATGGCTAACAATGGTGAAAAATAACTTTTACTAATAAAGAAAAGGTATCTCCCTTATAATTTTTAAATTTATTACAATTAATCTTTAGAAAATTTGATACATATCTTGTCACATAATTTGGTATAGCCAAATCAACAAGGAAAATAAATAAATGGAGGTCTTGATTCTTTGTTTTTTACTTTAAAAAATGTTGGGTATGGGAGATCATGTTCCCAACAATGTCACCACAAAACTAATTGTTTGTGTTTTTTATTTTATTTTATTCACTAGAATGGCTAGTTATACTAACCCAAACAAATAAGGAGTTTATGAATTTACTTGGTTGAGAAATAGAAAATTTCGTTGATGTAGTAGATAAAAATATATATATATGGAATAACGTCAAAATACATAAGGAGTATTTAAGGAACTTAATTAAAACTTTCAAACAAACTACATTATTCCCATATAGTAGAATAGAAACCATTTCTTTAATTTGTTACAAGCAAACATGTCTAACATGATCAATTATTTTGACAATTTTCTAGTAGAATGCATCCTCAAGAAATTGACCAAAACATTTATGAAGGCATACTTGGACACAATAAAACCACACTCTCTGCCAATAAGGATTGATCCAAAGGATTGTGACCAACATAAGGAGTATCATGACATATGATGAAGCAAAACTCCAATAAAAGACAGTGAAATCAATTGCACTATCTTGTTTCTCCTTATCATGCAATAGAGTTGGGGGCGGTGGTGGTGTTTGACTGCCTCTGTTACTATTATTCCAAGTAAGATATGGGTTTCCTTTGTAGTTATTCTCATCAAAGTTAGCAAATTGTCCCTGATAAGGTGCTTTGCCTGACAAATTATTGTAGGAAACATTGAAGATAGATAAATAGTGTAGGTCTTGTAAATGAAGAGGGATTTGTCCACTCAAGGTGTTGTTTGAAAGATCTAAGCTCTCTATGCTTTCTAGCTTCTGGAAGCTATCTGGAATCAGTCCACTTAGATGGTTGTGAGATAAGTTGAGGGAATGAAGTCCACGTAAATTTCCTATTTGTTGTGGAATCTCTCCTATCAATTGATTAGATGATAAATCTAATTGTGACATCCTTTGATATATATCACATGAGTATGAAAGATGAGAATTTTTTGTTATGAGTTGCATTTCTACAACAAAAGATCTAGGGACAAATGGTTTAATCCTATCAATAGCATACATAAATGGGTTAACATTTCCAAATGACATGCTACTAAAGCAAGCAGGAATAGACCCAGTGAAGTTATTTCGTGAAAGGTCTAAGATATTGATTTTTTTTAGCTGGCATATCTGATCAGAGAGTTGGCCTTGCAACTGATTACCTGCCAATAAAAGAAATCTTAAAGACCAAAGCTTATATATGCTATCAGGAATAGTTCCAATAAACTTGTTGTCACTTAAATCAAGGGTCATTGGAAAAGAGTTGTTGTTAACTAGTTCAGGTATCATGCCAGTAAAATTGTTTCCCTGCAAGATTAAGTATGTTGGCATTTTGAAACAAGAGGGTAGTGCACCATAGAATTTATTGTGACGTAAGTCCAAAATAGAAAGCTCATGATGGCACCATTCATCTGTTATTGCACCTTCAAAGTTGTTCCTTGATGCAATTAAGGTGGTAAGTCTAAGTTTTCTGATCACATTCAATAGTGTTCCATTAAGTTGGTTATTATCCATAAATAAAACATCTAATGAGAAGCACCCATTAAGAATTTGCTCTGGTACTTTGCCAGAAAAACTATTGTTCGCTAGAAATAATTCCTTCAAGCTTGACATCTCTCCAATTGAAGCTGGAATAGGACCATCAAACATATTGTTTGAGACATCGAAATACATCAAATGTGGGAGGAAGTATCCAATGTTTGTGGGTAGCTTGCCTTGAAATTGGTTGTTTGATAATGACAGGGTGGTTATTTGATTCTTGTGGTGAATTAGATCAAATGGTAGTTCAAAATGTCCACTGAAAGAATTATGAAATAAATCCACTTCTTCTAAATCTGGTTTGTTCACAAGCAACCAACTGGGAAACATACCAACAAGGTTGTTACCCGATAAATCAATAACTCTCAAGCTATTTTGATTTGAAATGAAAGTTGGAACTACGTTTGTAGGTAAGTTTAACTCACAAGAGGAAATTGCTAGTTCTTCCAACTGAAATGATGCGACCCAAGGTGGATTTTCAGTTTCCACTTTCATATTGCCTATTATCAATCCCTTAAGCTTTGAATGGTTGCTAAAAATGTTTAATGACAATAGGCCTTCAAATTCATTGAAAGAAATGGAAAGATGCTCAATAGATGTAAGGCGACGAATTAAAGGTGTTGGATTCCCACTTAAGTAGTTAACCGAGACATCAAGGGAGAGAAGTGATGTCAAATTGCTAAGGCATGTATCCAAAGTTCCTATGAAATTATTACTTGACAAATCCAACACTTGAAGTTGCTTCATTCTGCACAAACCTATATTTAAAATATTGAAAAGAAAGTTATAGTATTAAAATAATAACACACTTATGAGATGAGGATAGATAAGATAATATTTAAGATTTTTATACTTGCTCACCTTGGTTTGGGAAATATCCAGTGACACCTGAATTACTTAGCTGAAGAACTTCCAACTTGCTCAGATTAGCCAAAACTTCATAAGAATGAAAAGAGATAGATTTAAGCATAATTCCCATCAGTAAAGTTAATAATTTTTGTTGGGAAAATATCTACTTAATTAGGCCTGTTCACAATCGGTCATCCCTTTTGACCTAATTTTATCATGCATGGGTGTTGTTTAATGAATTTCACCACCGTATATGCTTATGAATCCCATCATATTGATCTATGTCACTACTTTCTTTAGCATTTTTATTGTGGATTAAATTCAACCATTTAACATTCATTTTATAAACAACTAATATCATGACATCATCATAAGATAGCCAATAATAGTTTTTCTTCATACAGTTATTCAAACAACATATAATGTTCAAAATGATTTATCTATATGCACTATTGATGAAATATCTGAGGGATACAACCAAGTATGCAACACATACCTTTGTCATTTAAACCCCATTTGATTGGATTATAACTTAGGCACAAGGATCTCAGAGTAGAGAAAGCAACTAAGGACTTGAGTATTCTTTTGTCAAAATTATTGGCAGTTAAGTCGAGTGTCTTCAACTTCTTTAATACATGGAAAACAACGTGAGCATCTGAAATGATTGTGAAGTTATTGTCATCATGAATTATAATAGTTATTAACTAAATTTCATGTCCTAATGTAACTAACAAAAATAAAGCAACTCGTGTGTGTCTATAAAGTTAGAGTCATTCATTTTCTAAAATATAAAAAAATTTAATCCTCATTTTTTTTTATATCATAAGTTTTTTTAACAACATAGAGACTTTCATTAAGAAAGAGGATAAATGTTATAAGAATACTCAATTCTTACAAGACTTAAGAAAATAACATAACATGTATAAAAAAAAAATGCACTAAAAGAGGTGCTTATATTATATTCTCTTCCCCAAAATAGAATTCCCCATTGAGATTAGAAAAAAAAAATCAATTAAAACTAATGTCCCAAGATACAAAATCCCTCAATGTATTAGTAGTTATATTCTTCTCTCATGAAAATATCATTTTAATATATAAGTGTCTTCTATACCAAAGATAATTAATTATGTTTGAGTTAAGTAAGATTAATATGAAACAGTAAAAAAATTTCTCCAAATATCTAACATAGTTATTCGAGGCTCTAACTCAATTCCCCTAATTAAACTAGAACAATTATACAGTAATTAATTGATTTATGTTCTCACCTATAAATTGAATAATCATTTACTTAAGTAAAGACAATAAATATTGTACATATTTTTCTCCTTGTGTACTATTGTATTATCTTCATTTTATGATATAATCTTATATCAAATAAATTAAATAATCTTTCTTTTTAATTAGTTATTTAATTAAAAGATAATTTAATTTTTTATTTATGTAACTAACAAAAAAAAAACATAAAGTGCATTATTACGACAAAGTTCACCATAGTCTATTGTTTTAATGTAAATTTATAAATTTGAAAAGAAAAAGAAAACAATATTTTAAAAATGTTTGAGAAAGTCATGGACAAGCCTATGATAAATTGTCCGAATTACATTTAAGGCATAATTGGATAAGCTTTTTGGGAATCACTTCTAGATTAAAAAAGTAAGAGGAAAAAGTTGGAATAAATCTCAATATATAAGTTAAAATTAGTTTATATATAAATTTAAAATATAATTTTGAAGGAAATAAAATATAAACAAATTTCTATATATTAACTTACAGTTTTAAGATAATTTTAATTTATAATATAATTTATTTTAATTGTTTTTGTTTTGTCTTCTAAAAATTTATATTTAAAAAAAATACCCAAAACATATTGATGGTACCTAAAAGCAGTGTCACACACTCGTGCGTACCTTCAGTTGTGACGGGGCTAACAAGACGATTCACACTTAAATCCAACACTTCCAAGTTTGGTGAAAGTGACAATTCTTAGAAGAAAAAACAAAGCAAATGAGAACATGCATTAATATCCAAAATGTGAAACTTATAATTAATTGAATTCATACCTTTCATGGGAAAGGGTCCACCTATAAAATTACAAGCAAGAGTTAAATTCTTGATGGATGGGAGAGCCCCCATGAGTACTTTCATTATGTTCTCGTTCAGATAATTGAAACTGAGATCTAATGTCTCCAATTTCTTCAATGTTGACTTGCTTATATAATCTGAAATATTACTCAAAATTCACTTCAATGGCTCGTGAATAACACAATAAAATATGAATATTAGCATCTTATGGAGAAATTCTCGACATAAACCACAGATAAATATGGTATTTTAACTAATATTTTTTTTAATAAAATTTTAACTAATACTTTATATAATTAACCAGTGCACGTCTTTTATAAGAAAAAAATAATCCTATATATTTTTAATTAATTACTAATTTATTTTAGAACTCATTTTAATTTTAAAAATAAAACAAAAAACATCCATATTGATTAAAATTATGGTGAACTACTTTATCGAGCAAACTCAATACAATAACAATAACTCAATAAAAGAGCAATGCACAAAAAAAAAATTAAATCCTCAACTTGAAAGAACCAATGAGGAGCACCAACTAAATATAACAAAAATAAATAACTCGAACGCACAAGAGCACAAAGATTTTTAACGTGAAAAATCTCTCATTATAAGAGTAAAAATTCTGAGTTGTCCGAACCAAAGAAAAAATCTACTATGATCAACAAAATATACAAATAAGTCTCCAATGAATGCTCCAAACCAAATATACAATCAGCAAAAGAAAAACAAGTGCAATTGCTCACAAATGAGAAATAAAATGAAAAAAGTCCAAAAATAGAGATGTTAACACGAACAACTTTTCTCTTGCTACAAACATCTAATTGACAATTCAATAGTTGAAAACAAAATTTCACCTACACATAACTTGTTGTTCAAATTTAGCCCAATCCAATGGCTAACAAATCATTGGTTGCAATCTGAAAAACATTGCTTAATGGAAATGTGAATTGCATAATGAATTTTCCTCTTCCTTTCTCTATATGTGTTTGCTATTGTTTTCTCTTAATGATAATTGATGAGTCACACTCTCTATCCTAACTTGACCCCTTTTACTTAGTTAAGTGAGATACTATGAACTTACATATTTAAGCCTATTTTCCAATTAGAAAGGGAGCCCAAAACCCAACCAATCTCTCATTCACAACTATGTAGAGATAATTGCCAAACCAATGATCTCAAACAAGCTTTTAAACTTCTCTTTTGGTAATGCCTTAGTCATCATATCAACACCATTGTCATTAATGTGAATTTTGACCAGCTCCAACAACTTAGAATCCAAAACATAATGTATTCAATGATACCTCACTTCAATATGTTTAGATTTTGAATGAAAAGTTGAATTCTTACCTATATGAATAACACTCTGACTATCCACAAATAATAGGTATTTATCTTAAACAAAATCAAGTCCCTACAAGAATTTCTTCACTCATAGCAACTCTTTGCATGCTTTAGTAATGAAAAGAAATTCTACCTTTGTAGTAGAGAAAACTACACACCTCTACAACCTAAATTGCCTAGTCACAACTCTTGCAAATTTAATCAAATGGCCTAAGGTGAACTTCTTGGAATCAATGTCTTTAGCCATATTAGAGTTTGAGCATCCCAACAAAGTAGACTTATCATCACCAAAAGAAAAAGCCTCATATTTATAGTACCACGAAGATACATCAAAATCCATTTCACAACATTCCAATGTTCTCTACTTGTGTTTGACAAAAATTTGTTGATTGTACCAACATGTGTTATATTTGGTCTTCTGCACACCATTACATACATCAAACTACCAATCTCAAATGCATAAAGAACTTGTTGCATATCTAATTTCTCAGGTTCATTTGATAGACTTTGTTTAGAAATTAACTTAAAATAAGTAACAACAGGAGTGTTCACCACTTTGGAATTTTTCATTTGGAATCTCTACAACACTTTTTTAATATAATGTTCATATGATAACCAAAGTTTCTTCTCCTTTTTGTCATGCATGATTCTTATACCAATAATTTGTCTAGCAACTTTCATGTCTTTGATGGAAAATGACTCGCCCAATTCTCTTCTATCTGTCAATCTTGAAAACATTTTCCCTAACAATAAGCATGTCATCAGCATACAATAATAGAATAATGAATTCATCAATAAAAAAATTTCTAACAAAAACACAATGGTTAGGAGTAGTTTTCTTGTAGCATTGCTCACACATAACAAACTCAAACTTTTTAGATCATTTCCTTGGAGCCTACTTCAAACCATATAAGATCTTTCTCAACCTACATGCATAATCTTCCTTGCCTTTAACAAGAAAACCATTAGGTTACTTCATGTAGATCATTTCCTCCAAATCATGATGAAGGAAAGTAATTTTCCCATCCATTTGTTCTACCTCCAAATCAAGAGTAGTAGTCAAACTCAACATGGTTCTATTGGATGTCATTTTCACCATAGGTGAAAAGATCTCATTAAAATTAACACCTTTTCTTTGACTAAAGCCTTTCACAACAAATCTAGATTTATACCTAAAAATGTAGAGTTACTCTCATATTTCACTTAATAGATCCACCTTTTATGCAAGGCATTTTCTCTTAGCCAACTTCACCAAATCAAAAGTGTGACTATCTTTCAATAATTTCATCTCATCCTTCATAACACCTAACCACTTTTATTTTTCTTCACTTTCCATGGCCTCTCCAAAACACTCAGATTCTCCCCCGTTTGTCAAGATCACATACTCATCAATAGAGTACCTCAAAGATGATTGTCTTTGCCTGTTAGACCTCCTAAGTTGAGCTAATGGTGCCTCAGGTACATCACCAAGACTCTCATCTTGTGACATCTCATTGTTCCTCTTCATCAACATCATCAATGGGAACATCTACCTCATCTCAAAGTCATTTCTCACCAACATATAGTCAAGTTAGTTTTTGTTCTGTATATCAATATCCAAATTATGCATAGGTAACCAAATTTAATCAACATTAGCCATGCCACTATCTTTCTTAGGCTTATACTTCAAGGGCGTGCATGGAAGGTGGCTTAGTTCCATGCACGCCCTTGATCTTGGTTCAACAAGGGGACTCCAAAATGGTGGAAGAATGGTGGTGATGTTGGCGGAAGCACAAAAGAGGATGGTTTTCTCAAGGTTGTTTCATCCAAGTGTAGGATGAAACCTACGTAGGGTTTTGCTCTCTTAGGGTGGAGATGGGAGGAGGTTAGCCAAAGGCAACCTAGAAACTAAGGAAGAGTGGGTGTTTAAGGTGGTGGTGGTCACGCTCAAGGGGAGGAAGGTGTTTGGTGGGGGTGTTGCTCCTTTTGGCTAGCTCACTTCACTAAGGTGGGTGAAGGCCAACCAAGGAAGGCCAAGCTCAACTCACTCATGGTGGTTAGGGAGGAGGAGAAAGGAGGGGCCGTGGAGTTCCTAGAGACTATGGAAGAGAAGTTGAGGCAAAAATGCACACTCAAATTCAATATGATCCAAAGTATGTACAAGGTGATAGGCTAGGGTATAAATAGGAGTGCTAGCATCTAGGGTTTCATTTGGTGTTGCATTGGCCGAAATTCA